ACGTGCTGTTGCGCTTTAAAAGGGTGTAGGTTTATCAAAATCATGTTCAACAAATTATCTTTTTCATGTATATGTTAATACAATGTAATAGGTTTACTGGCACATACCAAAGACTTTTGTGAGAGAGTTATTCCAAGTACCAGCTACAGTGCCATTTGCAAACAAGACCAGATTTATCCCTTTTCTGTTCACCAAGCGAATATCCACCCATGCTGATGGCGTTATTATGCTAAACTTCTTGTCTTTATCTTTCTTTGTCGTTGGAAACGTTTTACTGTGTGTCGTACTTGAGGCTACTGTACTGGCGTAGTTCACAGGGGCTTTTGTCGTTGAGAGCAGGGAATTCAGTACCATTACTGAGATAAGAAGCTTAACGAAAATAAACACTAGTCAATATATAACACGTTTTCCTTTCTTTCTGATTGCTAAGTTTTCATTTCGCTTAAAATGATCGAGCTAAAAACGAAAGCCAAGACATCGATGGGTGCATAATGTGATGGGTTTGCCAGATTAAGCGCCCTTTACGTGAATGATCTACATTGTAGTTCTGAGATAAGGTTCATCGTGGTGTCTGGGTCTGAAATTACTTTGCTGAACACGAAATATTTATAGAAGTGTTCATCCAGTTTACGACATTCATGTAAAATGTCAAGCATGAGATGCAGTGTTTCATCAACAGAGGAAACACCGAGAAGGGAAACGCGCAGCCGAGTATTTTTGACGAACTTCGAGGTGTATCATTTGGTGATGAAACACTGTGTCGAATGCTTGATATTACTGCACGTCGTATTTTCATCTCTCTTCTCAGTCGGTTTCATCTGGTGATGAAACACTGCGTCTCATGCTTGACATATTACTTGAAGTAAAAAAACTCTGCCATTTCCATTCAATTTCCTGACAAAATAATTGTGGATAATATTAGAGTCAGGATTATATTTTCAGTCCCTCTAAAACATAGGACTGGTTGTGTCTAAACTATGAAGTGTTTCCATTTGGGTGATTGAGTTTGAGAATGAAAAATCACAGTTATCTGCTAATCATGTGTCGATTTAAAAAATCAGGAGCTGGATCTTTCTGAATCTACTACAAAGGATGCAGACTATCAGGCCAATGACGAAGACATAACTAAAAGGAGTACTAGTCGGTGAAAGCGTGGAAAAAACGTCTTATTCAGCCATGTCGAGGCAATCGCATCGTCATAAAAGAAGGGATGATTTGGAAATACCACTTCAACGATCGTAGAATAGAATTCAGTTTCTCTTTTGATCCTATCCGCTATGCCTTAAAGAATAAGCGTGTTATAACATTATGACCTTTGCTTAACGTCAAATGACGATTTACAATTTATCTACGCTGCCTTTGAAGGTTCTGGTACACGCGGAAACCTTTGTGCAGTGGTCCACTCTCATTTCAGCTAAAGTTTCCATCGTGTAAGCTATTATTTTTGTGTGCAATAATTGAAACAGTGACAAAAAAGCATCGTCTCCCATAGAGCTCATACCCACCTCATGCTGAGATTCTCATCAAATTCATCTTTAGGTTTTATAATTGTGTTTCTCCGACACTATCTTCAAATTACATGCAGCTTACCTAATGATCCCTACTAAATATACCAGCGGAGTACTTTGAATGAATATTCGTCAAGATCAACGGATTTTAATTCATTTGCCTAATTGGGATGAAGATTGTTGTCGTGGTTTCCTTTGATCCCGTCGACTCGCCTTACTTCGGTAAACCGTTAAGTGTGTATACTTTATAAACTCGACATATACTCTTAAATTGGATGGATCGTGGTATTCATGGATGTAGGTTGCATAGGATCTCACAAGAGCAACTAAACAGACTAAAGCATCATAGAGTCTACAGTCATACAACCCTAAAGTCCGTTTACCACAAATCCTATCTGCAGAGTTTGAGCACTTGAAAGCTCTCTGTCACGCATGCCGGCTCCTTAGTTTAGCGGCTAATTCAGCTCTTAAGAGCCTGAACGTCCATAATATATGTTCTTTCACTGTGAACAAATGTAAAGTCGATCGCAAGAGAATAATTTACTTACCGGTGAGGCCATCTATAAGCGGAATGATCCCAGAAATGTCGCTTGAAGAATATTCGGATGTTTCTCTCTCACGCAAGAGGAGTTTTCAACAACAGGTGATTTTAGGTGATTGCTGCTCCCCTCATCGACAGAGACAGCTTCTAGAACTCTCCTGCGGTCCGCCTGCATCTTCCATCTAGCAGTTAGTTGCTACACGTTGTGAGTTAGTAATAAAATAAAACCCAACAATATTTACAAAATTAAAAGTATGTTAGTTAAATCGATGTGAAGTTATCAGCTTCATACCCGCAAGTTTCAGCTTCACCTGACAGTTATCACTTAATTTAACGTTACGTTGGTTCCACAATTCCATCAACTTTATGAAACAAAAACCATTCCAGCCTATGTTAAGACAGAACGTATTTCTGATAGGAAGGCGCAAATTTGCCTTTTGTAAGCTTCCGAGTAAATACTGGTAAAGACATTTTTGTAGGCTCATGATCTGTTTGTACATGCAGGGAGGTATTACAGCTATGGCAAACAAGGACAGGGAGTGTCCGTGTGCGATACAAGCAGCACAGGTGGTGTAACAAATGCTATCATCTTAGAAATTTTCGTTTTCAAATTTGCTCAACTAGGAAACTGTGCTCTGGGGTCAACTCCCTGTGATGGCCCATACGGGGAGTTCCCCCCCCCCCCCCCCCCCAAAGAGGCCCCTTTTTTTCCGCCGGGGGATAAAAAGGAGAGGAGACTTGTTTTTTGGTAGTTTTTATAGGGGAGAAAAATGTGTATTTTTTTTTTTTTAAAGACGTTTACTCAAATAAAAAAAAAAAAGAACAGACCCCGCATCTTCTCCCACGGGAGGGGAAACACAACAAAATAAACAAAACAAAACAAAGATCCCCCCACAAACAAAAATTTCTTCCCCCAAACCCCCCCCCCCCCCCCCCAAAAAAAAAACAAACAAACAAAAAGCTAAATCTAGTTTGCAGCGCTCCCAGCTCTCTCCCTCTCTCAGGATTTAAGATGAAACCCTAACTGCGAGGTTGGAAACAATGTTTTAAAAAGAGCACATATTATTAAGAGAAACCTTAATGATGTCCAGTTTAATGATTATTACCGTGGAGTAAATTTTTCCTAAGCTGTTTATTGCAATGTATTTCTTTGTCTTTAAACTTTTCAGCTTCACTAAGCTTGGACCGTGAGACTGAATACGAAAGAGACCTGAAAATAAAGATTAGATTCAAGTTAGTCACTCTTTTGTTTTTTTCGAAAACCGCAGCTGCCTGGTCACGTCTTCTTAAACTCAACGGAATTAAAATTGGACTACTAGTTCTGGTTCCCTCCTAAATACGTTGAAAACATTTTTCAGGCCAGCCAAAGTAGTTTTAGATCTCTAGAAATTCATTCTAAGCAGCGCTATGGAATTTGTATCTGTTCCGTCATCCTAAGGCAAGTTAAACCGTTTCGAAATTACAATTATATTTTTCCAAAAATTTTTAGATGCCATTTTATACTTCACGAAGGGGGGAACAAGCACCATCCTCCATCCTCCGTCCTCCACACTACTGATATCGGCTCCGAAGGTTTTCACGCAAAGTTGAATTTTTTGGAGCGTAAATTCAAGAAGGCAAGATGTGCAGGGATCTAGCCTATATCAAAGAGACTTTTTTTTCTTTTATCTCGCTGTTATTTCTACGCTAATTCAACGTGCAAGGTGAAGACAGGTGAAGACGTAGACGACTCGCGCCCCCAAAATTTCTTTCACCACGAGAGCTGTGTTTGGTTCTGTCATCAAGACCATCACCGATGAGCGTCTATTGGCTAGCAACCTCAGTATTTCATTTTTCCCAAGCTATCGCTTTGGGGTAGCTGTCAAGGGAAAGTCTAGTGTTCTCGAGACATATCCATGCCCTAGACGATAAAATTTCCCCGTGGTAAGTTACCCAGGGAAAAAAATCAAGTTTCCCTAGCTAAACTGTCAACAAGTCGAGTTTACCTAGGTAGTCTGTAGTGTGACAACAGCTAATAACTTGGTCGTAGGACACTTCATTTGTGAAGACGTGCTGTTGCGCTTTAAAAGGGTGTAGGTTTATCAAAATCATGTTCAACAAATTATCTTTTTCATGTATATGTTAATACAATGTAATAGGTTTACTGGCACATACCAAAGACTTTTGTGAGAGAGTTATTCCAAGTACCAGCTACAGTGCCATTTGCAAACAAGACCAGATTTATCCCTTTTCTGTTCACCAAGCGAATATCCACCCATGCTGATGGCGTTATTATGCTAAACTTCTTGTCTTTATCTTTCTTTGTCGTTGGAAACGTTTTACTGTGTGTCGTACTTGAGGCTACTGTACTGGCGTAGTTCACAGGGGCTTTTGTCGTTGAGAGCAGGGAATTCAGTACCATTACTGAGATAAGAAGCTTAACGAAAATAAACACTAGTCAATATATAACACGTTTTCCTTTCTTTCTGATTGCTAAGTTTTCATTTCGCTTAAAATGATCGAGCTAAAAACGAAAGCCAAGACATCGATGGGTGCATAATGTGATGGGTTTGCCAGATTAAGCGCCCTTTACGTGAATGATCTACATTGTAGTTCTGAGATAAGGTTCATCGTGGTGTCTGGGTCTGAAATTACTTTGCTGAACACGAAATATTTATAGAAGTGTTCATCCAGTTTACGACATTCATGTAAAATGTCAAGCATGAGATGCAGTGTTTCATCAACAGAGGAAACACCGAGAAGGGAAACGCGCAGCCGAGTATTTTTGACGAACTTCGAGGTGTATCATTTGGTGATGAAACACTGTGTCGAATGCTTGATATTACTGCACGTCGTATTTTCATCTCTCTTCTCAGTCGGTTTCATCTGGTGATGAAACACTGCGTCTCATGCTTGACATATTACTTGAAGTAAAAAAACTCTGCCATTTCCATTCAATTTCCTGACAAAATAATTGTGGATAATATTAGAGTCAGGATTATATTTTCAGTCCCTCTAAAACATAGGACTGGTTGTGTCTAAACTATGAAGTGTTTCCATTTGGGTGATTGAGTTTGAGAATGAAAAATCACAGTTATCTGCTAATCATGTGTCGATTTAAAAAATCAGGAGCTGGATCTTTCTGAATCTACTACAAAGGATGCAGACTATCAGGCCAATGACGAAGACATAACTAAAAGGAGTACTAGTCGGTGAAAGCGTGGAAAAAACGTCTTATTCAGCCATGTCGAGGCAATCGCATCGTCATAAAAGAAGGGATGATTTGGAAATACCACTTCAACGATCGTAGAATAGAATTCAGTTTCTCTTTTGATCCTATCCGCTATGCCTTAAAGAATAAGCGTGTTATAACATTATGACCTTTGCTTAA